CTGTATATATTATTTTGCTTGATCAGCACCGGGCTTTATGAAAATACAACTGGAGTGCAAGTATTTGGATATTTTATATATATATATATGTACATATATTTATATCAAAATACATTTGCGATGAGATTTTATATATATATATATGTATATATATATATATATATATATATATATATACATATATAAATAAATAAAAACAATACGAAATATACATATGTCCATATACATAATTACATAAATAATTTCATAAATATACACGTAGACTTCAAATATATAAATATCTATATATATTTAAATTCTACATGCATATTTATGTAATATTTTACATAATTAAGTCATTTTATTGATTGCAATTTGGGGGACCTGCCTGACAACCCAGGCTGAAAGTCCAGAGAGTTTTATTTGCTAGCACTATATTTAACCCTGTAACTTTCCAAGACACCCTAAAACCTGTACATGGGGGTACTGGTTTACTCCATAGATTTCGTTGAACACACATATTAGTATTTCAAAACAGTAAAGCAGATCGCAGCGATGATATTGTCAGTGAAAGTGGTGTTTTTTGCATTTTTGACACACAAACTGGATTTTCACTGACGATATCATTGTTGTAATACGTTTTACTGTTTTGAAACACTAATATTTGTGTTCAGCGATGTCTCCTGAGTATAACAGTAGCCCCTATGTACAGGTTTTATAGTGTTTTTGAAAGTTACAGGGTCAAATATAAGGCTGTTTTTTCATATTGAAATGTGCCAGATTGGTTATCTTGCCTTTGAGAGCATATGGTAACCCAGGAATGAGAATTAAACCCATGATGGCATACCATTTGCAAAAGAAGACAACCCAAGGTATTGCAAATTGGGTATGTTCAGTCTTTTTTACTAGCCACTTAGTCACAAACACTGGCTAAAGTTAGCGTTCATAATAGTTTTTGGCATTTTTAACACACACAACAAATATAAATGTTAACTATGGTCAGTGTTTGCAGGGGCTTACCTAGAGCATTTGGCACCCGGGGGGGATCCTGTGCTTGGCAACCCCCCCCCCCACCCAAAAAAAAAAAAAAACCTGTAAAAAATATTAAAGGTTTTCTTTCTTTTTTTTTTTACAATTTGTAAACTTTGCAAAACCGCTGTCAGCCCCTCCTACAAAATCCTTGTCCTGCCCCACCCCTCCTACAAAACCTCTGTCCTGCCCCTTCTACAAATCCTGTACTGCCCCGTCTACAAAACCCCCGCAACCCCCTTCCACAAATCCCCTGCTTATCCCCCCTTATAAAGACTCCTGTCCCAATACAAAACCCCGCCCCCTTCTACAAAATCCCTGCAGCCCCACACACACATTTACAGGCAGACAGTCACACACTCAGTTACAGACAGACAGTCACACACTCAGTTACAGGCAGACAGTCACACACAGTCACAGGCAGACAGTCACACACAGTCACAGGCAGACAGTCACACATACACATTTCCTCCGTGCGGCCAGTTTATCAGCTGTTTGCTTGTGTGAGCTGTACTGGCCGCGCGGCACCCTAACTACCATGGGACACTGTGCGGCCACAGCTCACACAGCCCCCTCCAGCCAGGGCCGGTGCAAGGATTTTTGCCGCCCTAGGCAAAAGTAAAGTTTGCCGCCCCCCCCATGTGACATCACAATGCCCCACCCATATGATTTGCCATGTTAACTAACGCCAGTGCTGCAGTGCCACCGTGTTTACATTAAAAGGCCTGCAGGGTCAGGCTATAGACACCAGAACCACTACATTAACCCCTTAAGGACTGGACTGTTTTTGCGATGTTGTACATTTGCGACCAGGCATATTTTTACACTTTTGTGGTGTTTGTGTTTGGCTGTAATTTTTCGCTTTCTCATTTACTGTTCCCATACAAATTATATATTGTTTTTTTCAGGACAAAAAGGGCTTTCTTTACATACCATTATTTATATAATCTCATGTATTTTAATTTAAAAAAAATAAAAAAATCTGATGAAAAATTGAAAAAAATACATGTTTTTTGACTTTTACTTGAAAAATCTTTTACTCATCTACAAAAGCGAATGAAAAAAACTGCTAAATAGATTCAAAATTTTGTCCTGAGTTTAAAAATACCTAGTGTTCACGTGCTTTTTTGCTTTTTTTTGCATGTTATAGGGCTATAGGTACAAGTAGGATATTGCGGTTTCAAAACATACATTTTTAAAATTTATCAATAGTGACATTGTAACACTATTATCTGTCATAAATCTCTGAATAACACCCAACATGTACATATTTTTTTTAAAGTAGACAGCCTAGGGTATTCAATATGGGGTATGTCCAGTCTTTTTAGTAGCCACTTAGTCGAAAACACTGGCCAAAGTTAGCATTCATATTTGTTTGTGTGTGAAAAAAGTAAAAAAAACTAAATTGAACGCTAATTTTGGCCAGTGTTTCAGTTACCCCAAAACTGGACACTACTGACTAACCACTACAGGTTGTCTTCTTTTGCAAATGGTATGCCTTCATGGGGGTAATTCTCATTCCTGGGCTACCATACGCTCTCAAAGGCAACGTAACCAACCTGGCCATTTTCAATGTAAAAATATTTGACCTTGTAACTTTCAAAAATGCTATAAAACCTGTACATGGGGGGTACTGTTTTACTCGGGAGACATTGCTGAACACAAATATTAGTGTTTAAAAACTGGAAAACGTATCACAACAATTATAACATCAGTAAAATGCTGTTTGTGTGTGAAAAATGCAAAAAAAGTAACTTTCACTGACAATATCATCGCTGTGATATGTTTTACTGTTTTGAATCACTAATATTTGTGTTCAGCGAAGTCTCCCGAGTAAAACAGTACATGTACATATTAATATAAAAATACACTTAGTATGACATTATATATATATATATGATATATAGACATATTATATATATATAATATATGTCTATATATCATATATACACATATATAATTATTATTTTTTTTTATTAACACTAACTTTATTTTTTTTCCTGATTTTACACTAGCAGGGAGACTGACTGTCAGCACAGACAGTCCCCCTGCAGGCAGACACATGGACACCTATTGTGACCATGTGATCGCTGTGTTAAGCGATTACATGGCCACAGGGGTCCTAATTCAGTGTGGGGAGACTGTCTGGGCTGCAGGCAGTCTCCCCACAACAACCATGATGTAGCGGAGGAATGGCTGATCAGGTAAAAATAACTCAGACCGTTAGAGGCGGTTCAGGACGTCATCGATTAAACCCAATAAATGCCAGATGTGATCCTGAACGTCCTGGGTTGAAGGGTTTAAGCTGAAGTGGTTCTGGGGACTATAGTGTTTCTTTAATGTGAGGTAAAATTAAGAGCTTGAATTGCCACCGAGAATAATATTCTAGATTGCCTACTTACAACCAGATGAGGAGGATGATGGGCTCTAGCTGCAGTCTGGCTCCACTGGTCTGGTGCAGAACAGGCTCTCTGGAGGCGGTTTGTAACTGTGGTCACAAAAATCAATGTTCTGGGAGAACGGGAGGCAGCTCCATTTTTTGGGGGTCCTTTA